GAAAAAGGTACCAGGGGCATCTCATGGGGCCCCCTACTGACCCCGGGCCCCCGGGCAGTGCCGAGTTTCCAAATGGTCAGTCCGCCCCTGCTCATATATTACACACATACTTAATCTCCTCCAATGAGCCACACTTTGTGGAACTGCTTTTTCAACAGTATGGTTCAATTTCCTGAATCTCTATATTAATACCTTCTAATTGTTTACCAGTGGATATTGGTGTCAGCGTGATTCATTGTTCAATCTGACAGTTGGGAAATTTTCAGGCCAGTTTATCTAGTGTATTGTTGGGCCTTTCATCAGTTACAGATGTTGGTGTGGCTGTTGCTATGAATAGGCGTATTTTCACTACACGTGTGTAAATTTGTGTGTTTCCATGTGCCCGTTAGCATTACAAATTGAGATCTGGGTGGACAATCTGCTATGCTGTCTGAACACAATGTTCAAATTCTTTAACTGTTTTTACAGAATGCAAAATATTCCATAAACAACTGTGCAACTTGTTTTTCTTGAAGCATTCCTTTTTAATTTAAATTTGTTTTTTTTTTAATGGGAAAAGCCATTCTTCATAATAATCATACATGGAGGCGCTACATTGTGTTGAGTTTACATAAAGCCCAGCTGTGGGTTTTGACAAACCATATCCCTTCATTAATTAAAGGGAATCGAAATTTGAAAAGTGAAGATTTAGGCCCCATGTACACAGGACACTTCTGAACTATGGAAACTGACTGCTGGAAAACGTAGGTTAAAAACTTCTGTTTAGCCGCATTTGCATAACGTGTTTATGCGCATTTATGTGTGTTTGCATTTAGAAGCGTTTTTAAAGATAAGCACAGGAGAACCTTCAAAATGCCCAGAATGCACTAAAAAGTGGTAAATTATTAACTCTTTCAGACTGTTCCAGAGAAATACAGAGAGTAGAAGCAGAGACAGCAGTATGTGTTGAAATTAGCTTAGGTGTGAGTTGCTCATTAAAATTTCTTTTGTTTCCAAGGGTGGGAAAGGTGTCTGGTGGAGTGAGTAAATAAGGCTCTTTAAGGCCAGGTGGGCAGGGGGTCTTCATGAGGAATTTGAGGTGTGAATGGTCATTAACATATCTTTTGTTTCCAAAGGTGGGAGAGGTCTGAGGTGTGAATTGGTCCTTACAATGTGTGACAAGCTTGGTAGGAATTTCCTGTGTTCAGTGTTTTGTCTATCTGAGTATCTTGAAAATGCTTTGCATGCATTTTTCATGATGAAAAAGGGCTCTGGGCAGCATCGGGAACTGGAAGAGTTAAAAAAAATGTCAGACGCAAACGCTTACAACGCAATTTATCTGTGTTTAGCCGCGTTTTGCATTTGAAATGCTGATCAAATCGACTGCTGAACGAAAGTTTTCTGCGTTCAGAAAAACGACTGTAAACTCAAATGCCTGTAAACGACTGTAAATGAAGATGTGTACATGGAACATTACGGTGAGTTCAGGGGCTGCTGAAAAAAATGCAGAAAAGCTCCTAAACGTGAGTTTATCAGCTGCAGTGTACATGAGCCCTAACTCTGTTAAAGGGAATATCTAGAAAAGTTAATTGTGCCTAGAGAATACCCTGGAAAATCCACTTTATATCTAGAATGTGCAACTTCTGGTAAATGATGGTGTGTAGGCACTCCTGTTCCTACAGCCTCATAGCTGTGTATCAGCAGTGCAAGATCCAAGGCACTACTGCCCAGCCTAGCTAGTTATGAGATCTGCTCATGTCTCTCCTTCCTGGATGCTCTCACCTGAAGAAATATAATCCTGCTCCTACCGAGATGGGTGGCTCCACACAGAGACATAGTGCAGAACAAGTCACTAAGAACAGTGCTGAATATTACGGTAATATGGGAAGGATCAGCTGTAAGGAGACCACTGACAATAGTGGTGACTACTGTAGTCCAGTGTCCTCTCCCTGGCTTCTTTGGTATAGCTTCCATAGTTCTGTTCTTCTACAACCATGGAGGGCAAAGTGGCAAGTTTGCTTTGCTGTCCCTTCCCTACCAATCATTTGAGCCACCAGGAGCAAAGAAAGTATTCTGTACTTCCAAGTATGGAGTATGGAGGAGTATGCTTCTTCTTCCATGTGACAGCTCTAAGCTGACCATCAAGCAAAAGTGCTGACACATGTCTACAGTACAGTTATGACCAGGGGCGGACTGACCATTTGGAAACTCGGGCACTGCCCGAGGGCCCGGGGTCAGTAGGGGGCCCCATGAGATGCACCTGGTACCTTTTTCATAGGCTTTTTTGAGTTTGGGCAAGGACACAGGGGCCCCATGATCCCCTATTACCCGGGGCCCCATGAGTTGTCAGTCCGCCCCTGGTTATGACTTGACTTGTTCAGAGTGTAGGCTTAGAGTCATTAGAGAACACATCGCTGACAGCCCTGCACCTACCTACATGAAAGCTGCCATGGCCCGGCAGAGACTTTTACTCAGGCTAGGTTCACACCTATGCAGGTTGCGTTTGAGCAGTTTCTGCATTGCCTTTTGTGTTTTTGCACTTGCGTTTTTGCTACGTTTTTTTTTTTCATTTTTTTTTCTTGTTGCTAGGCAGATTTAAAATGCAAAACACATCAAAAACACAGCTAAAAAGCAATACATGCTTATCTGCAATCGTTTCCATTAAAGTCTACAGAAACAAAAACGCAACTTTTTGCATTCAAAAAGTCTCTAAACCCTTTCCAAAAAAACACATCGGGTGAAAACGCACAGGTGTGAACATGTCCCATAGGAAATCATGTTAAATGGACTCTACTGCGCTTCTGAAAAAAACTGCAGAAAACACTTAGGTGTGAACCTAGGGTCAGGGACCTTGAGCCTGCATCTGTTATAGGCTGCTGGTCACTGAGCTGACTGCCTGTATGTGCTAGCTAAGAAGGCCATCTTTATTAGGCGGGGCGGGAGGTTGAAAATGACCAGCGCAACCCTTTTTCCAACTGTATTCTTGCTAGACAGGTCTTCTCTTTTAACCTTTGTGGCTACTAGGACAGGAAGCAGGGAGACATCTCCACAATAGGGTCACAATTTAAAAACGGAAGCGGTTATATCTCTTCCGGCACCGACTGAAATCATAAACTAGGTTTTGACTGGAGACGCTCATTAAAGCTGAACTCCAGGCAGATAAAAATACATAATTTCCTGCAGTTATGTGTATTCAGTATCATGACATCACTACAAAGGCAAGCTGCATAAGTACCTGCATTTGACTTGGTATCAGCCTCTTGCAACCCCTCTACAACAGGTACAGCTTAGACTGGGGAGGGAGAAGCAGCACAAGAAGTCAATTAGTTGTGCTTCTGTACAAAAAGCATGCTGTTAAAAAAGGAGAGTAAAGTGACAGAGAGATGAGCTCATCAGTCTGCTGCTTCTCTGTTCACTGTCCAGTCACAAGCTGAGGGAGGGATAAGACCTGTAAGTATTACTTAAAGTGTTACTAAACCCACAACAGTAAAATCAGTCTGTATATGCAGTAAAGCATGCTTGTTATACTCACTGTGGAGCCTAAGGGGTTAGTCCTGTACATTGTGTAAAAAGGCTGTTTGATCCTGACTTCTTGATTCTCCCCTTCTTCCAGTGTACCCTGTTACCTCCTGATAAGACATATGGTGTGGAGTCACTCTGCACATGCTCAGTTTGGTGTGTTTTGCTAGAGAGGGTTTTTTTTTCTTGGGAGAGTGCATGTGATCAGCACAGGGCCAATCAGCACTGTCCAGACAGAGATCGGGGTTCTGCATCCTCCTAGAGCAGAAAGAAAACTTCTCCTACAAGCTTTAACCAGTGCTCTGCTGGACACTGACAGAAGTCACAAGACTGCTTTAACTGCTAACGGAAAAAGGTATGTAGCAGTTTATATTTACTAAAATAATTGCATTTCTATGTTGTGTGTACTGTGGGAGACCAGATATAGTGAATGCAGGGTCCTGGGTTTAGTAACACTTTAACGGCAGCAGAGAAAATACAAGTCTTCTGCCCTGCCAGATAGAGCTGTGCTTCAGAACTGTATAAATCTCAGAGCTGGATGCACAGAGATTCAAATTCTTTGGACAGTAAAACAGCCACCATATATGTATTTCATCCTCATATTTAGCAGTTTTACCTAGAGTTTAGCTTTAAGTTACATTAGGGGGTGTTGTACCATATGCCTGTATTGACATACATACACTGATCACCCACCGATCAACCATACCATTATGATCACTCATCATTGGGGCATGGAATCCATTAGACCTCTGAAGGTATGCTGTGGTATCTGGCACCAAGTCGTCAGTAGAAAATCTTTTAAGTTCTGTAAGTTGTTAGGTGGGACCTCCATGGATCAGACTTTTTTTTCCAGCACAGATCCCACAGATGTTTGATTGGATTGAGATTTGGAAAATTTGTAGGCCAAGTCAACACCTCAAACTCATTGTTGTGTTCCTTAACCTCCTTGGCGGTATGATTCTTTCCGATTTTTTGTGCTGAAAGTGGTACCATTTTTTTGCATGGAAATATGTAGTTTTTTATTGTAGGCTGTAATTTTTAGGAATAACTCACTGAAATCTGTCCGAACAAGAGTCTAGTAAACATTCCGGATATGATAAAATTTGAAACACAAAATCATAAATTATAATTTAATAAATAATCATAAAAAATAATAATATAACAATAATAAATTTAATTCAATAATATAATCAAACCAAAAACACTGAAATGTGAAATACAGAGGCAAATTCGCACATCGCTGAGCAAAGTCGCAAAATCGTTTTCAGTGTCTGATGACGAATTTCCCCACGAATCATTATCACTCAATTCTGCAAGTGGTTCTGATTTACTATCGCTGTTCTAAAACCACTTTTGATGTAAAGGGACGCTTTTTGGACGCCATGGACTTTTCTAAGTTTCCAGGCAGAAAGAACATTCAAAATGCAGGCAGGGCACAGGACAAAGCAGTAGGGACAAAATATATGTGAAATGCATTGAAATAGCAATGACAGCAAAAATTACATTTTTTAAAAAATTCAAATTTCCCGCCGATTCCGGCGCCCGTACGTCCCGACGTCGCAGGGACCGGAACACAGAAGCCGGATGCAGGCATCAGCCGGAGGAGATGGCTGGGGACACTGCAGGGGACACATCGTGGGAGCGAAGGACAAGGTAAGTGCTGCAGGGACCCCCAGAGCAGCGCCGCATGGTAAGCCCGAGTGTAGCTCGGGGTTACCGCTTTTGGTATAGAAATTTTACCCCGAGCTACACTCGGGATTACCGCTAAGGAGGTTAAACCATTCTTGAATTCATCAAAGCAGGCCTCCTTCTTCCATTGTCCAGTTCTGATGCTCTTGTGCCCATTGTAGGTGCTTTTGATACGGGTCAGCATGGGCATTCTGACCAGTCTGTGCCTACATAGCTGACACCTTTCTATTGGAACTGGCATTACATTTTTCAGTAATTTGAGCTACAGTAGCTCTTCTATTGAATCAGACTACACAGGTCAGCCTTCACTCCCCATGTGCATCTCTGAGCTTTGGCCACCCATGACCTTGTTAGCAGTTCACCATTTTTACTTCCTTGGACCACTTATGGTAGGTCTTGACTATTGCAGACTGTGAACATCCCAAAAGAACTGCAGTTTTGTAGTTGCTCTGACCCAGTCATCTAGCAATTACAATTTGGTCCTTGTCAGAGTCACTCAAATCCTTACACGTGCCCATTTTTTCTGCTTCCAACACATCGACTACAGGAACAACATATTCATATGCTGCCTATTATATCCAACCCACTATCAGATGTAACATGATAATCAATATTATTCACTTTACCTGTCATACATACACATACTAGGGCCAATTTAGACAGGATCCAATTAACCTACCAGCATGTCTTTGGAGTGTGGCAGAGAACTGGAGTACCTGGAGGAAACCCATGCAGGCACAGGGAGAACATGCAAACTCCATGCAGGTAGTGCCATTGTTAGGATTTTGAACCAACAACTCTAATACAGGCAAAAGTGCTAACCATTTAGCCACTGTGCTGCCCATTATGATAATATTCTACAGTCTGGGGGCTGTAAAAATCAATGTATATGTAGACCGTAATAGAATTGTATTTCAATCAAATCCATAGCAAAAGTCCTGTTGGGAAGTGCAGTGTTCTATGTCCACATGAAATGTAATTAATTATTTTATGATCATGGTTACATAGTTAGTCTGGCTGAAAAAAAAAGACAAAAGTCCATCCAGTTCAACCATTAAAAAAAAAAAGTTATAATCCTATACCCACAGTTGATCCAGAGGAAGGCAAAAAATAGCAAAACATGATCCAATTTGCTCCTGCTGGGAAACAATTCCTTCCTGATCCCCCGAAAGGCAATTGGATATTCCCTGGATCAACTTTACCTATAAATGTTAGTATCCAGTTATATTCTGTGTATCTAAGAATGAATCCAGGACTTTTTTAAAGCAATCCACTGAGCTGGCCAGAACCAACTCTTGAGGGAGTCTATTCCACATTTTCACAGATCTCACTGTGAAGAAACCTTTCTGTGTTTGGAGATTAAATTTCTTTTCCTCCAGTAAAGCGTGCCCCCTTGTCCTCTGTGATGACCTCAGGGTGAATAACTCTACACCGAGTTCACTATATGAACCACTGATGTATTTATACATGGAGATCATATCCCCCCTTAATCTCCTCTTCTCAAGAGAGAATAAATTCAGTTCCTCTAATCTTTCCTCATAGCTGAGCTCCTCCATGCCTCTTATCAGTTTGGTTGCCCTTCTCTGTATTTTCTCCAGTTCCTCAATGTTCTTTTTGTGAATTGGTGCCCAAAATTGAACTGCATATTCTAGATGAGGTGTTACTAATGATTTGTACCGGGGTAATATGATATCTCTCTCTGGAGTCTATACCTCTTATAATACAAGAGAGGATTTTGCTCGCTTTAGAAACTGCAGCTTGGCATTGCATGCCATTATTAAGCTTGTGATCTACCAGAACTCCCAGATCCTTCTCCAACATTGATTCCCCCAGTTGTACCCCCCCCCCTAGTATGTATGATGCATGCATATTCTTAGCCCCCGAGTGCACAACCTTACATTTATCAACATTAAACCTCATTTGCCACATAGTTGCCCAATTACACAGTGCATTGAGGTCGGCTTGTAAGTTAAAGACATCCTGTAAGGACGTTATTCCACTGCACAGCTTGGTGTCATCTGCAAAGACTGAAATGGGATTTTTTATCCCAGACCCTATATTGTTTATAAATATATTAAAAATTAAGGATCCCAACACTGAACCTTGGGGTACACCACTGACAACCCTAGACCATTCAGAGTATGAATCAATAACCTCTTTGAATACGATCTTTTAGCCAGTTTTCTATCTATTTACATACAGATTTTTCCAGGCCTGTAGACTTTACCTTACACATTAGCCGTGTGTGGGGAACTGTGTCAAACACTTTTGCAAAATCCAAGTATACCACGTCCATCGCCACCCCTCTGTCCAAGTATAACACGTCCACCGCCACCCCTCTGTCCAAGTATACCATGTCCACCGCCACCGCTCTGTCCAAGTATACCACGTCCACCGCCACCCCTCTGTCCAAGTATACCACGTCCACCGCCACCCCTCTGTCCAAGTATACCACGTCCACCGCCACCCCTCTGTCCAAGTATACCACGTCCACCGCCACCGCTCTGTCCAAGTATACCACGTCCACCGCCACCCCTCTGTCCAAGTATACCACGTCCACCGCCACCCCTCTGTCCAAGTACACCACGTCCACCGCCACCCCTCTGTCCAAGTACACCACGTCCACCGCCACCCCTCTGTCCAAGTATACCACGTCCACCGCTACCCCTGTGTCCAAGTATACTACGTCCACCGACACCCCTCTGTCCAAGTATACCACGTCCACCGCCACCCCTCTGTCCAAGTATACCACGTCCACCGCCACCCCTCTGTCCAAGTATACCACGTCCACCGCCACCCCTCTGTCCAAGTATACCACATCCACCGCCACCCCTCTGTCCAAGTATACCACGTCCACCGCCACCCCTCTGTCCAAGTATACCACGTCCACTACCACCCCTCTGTCCAAGTATACCATGTCCACAGCCACCCCTCTGTCCAAGTATACCACGTCCACCGCCACCCCTCTGTCCAAGTATACCACGTCCACCGCAACCCCTCTGTCTAAGGTTTTGCTCACCTTCTCATAAAAAGAAATCACATTTGTTTGACAAATTCTGTCTTTCATGAATCCAGGCTGTCTGTTGCTTAACCTCCCTGGCGGTATGATTATTTCAGATTTTTGGTGCTGAAAGCGGTACCATTTTTTTGCATGGAAATATGTATTTTTTTTATTGTAGGCTGTAATTTTTTAGGAAAAACTCACTGAAATCTGTCCGAACAAGAGTCTAGTAAACATCCCGGGTATCATATAATTTGAAACACAAAATCATAAATTATAATTTAATAAATAATCATAAAAATAATATAAAAATAAATAAAAAATTTAATTCAATAATATAATCAAACCAAAAACACTGAAATGTGAAATAGAGCGCCAAGTTCGCACATTGCTGAGCTCAGTCGCAAAATCGTTTTCAGTGTCTGATGACGAATTTCCCCCACGAATCATTATCACTCAATTCTGCAAGTGGTTCTGATTTACTATCGCTGTTCTCTAGCTGATCTAAACCGCTTTTGACCTAAAGGGACACTTTTTTGGACGCCATGGACATTTCTCAGTTTCCAAGCAGAAAGAATAGACAAAATGCAGGCAGGGCGCAGGGCAAAGCACTAGGGACAATATGTATGTGAAATTGGTTGAGACAGCAATGTTTTACTAGGTAAAATGTAAAAAAAAAAAAAAATGACATTTTTTAAAATTTTTAAATTTCCCGCCGCCGGCGGCTGCGGCGCCCGTACGTCCCGACGTCACAGGGACAGGACACAGAAGCCGGATGCCGGCATCGGCCGGAGGAGATGGCCGGGGACGCTGCAGGGGACACATCGTGGGAGCGCAGGGTAAGGTAAGTGAAGAACACTTGCCGGAGCAGTGCCTCAGGGTAAGCCCGAGTGTAGCTCGGGGTTACCGCTTTTGGTACTGAAATGTTACCCCGAGCTACACTCGGGAATACCGCCAGGGAGGTTAAAATATGTTTTTTTCCAGCAAGTACTCATCTATGTGGTCTTTTTTTAAACTCTCCAGTATCTTCCCAACTATAGAAGTTAAACTAACAGGTCTATAATTACTTGGTAAAGATTTTGACCCCTTTTTAAATATTGGCACCACATTAGCCATACATTGGCATGTAGAGTGGTCATTAGTTATGACCTTGTAATACTAAGCATATGGTATATTGCTTTACTTGTACATTGAATGCTTCTTACACTTCAAACAAGTCCAACAACAGAAATCCCACAATTGTTTGTCCATATGATCATAAATATTTCAGATTTTTATATCATTCTGAATATAGCAGGTTCCTTACTCCAGTGAAACCTTGTGTTCCCTGAGGCACTATGTGCTGTGCATTGTGTACAAGGTATGCCCTCCCCATTCACGCCTCTGTCATGGCTGTGCTGACATACAATGACACGTGGTGAGTCAGAACGTCTCCTATGACTCACCTGTACAAAATGTTGATTGTGCCCTTTCAGCATTTTCCTTTTATGGTTGGACAGTTCCAGTACTTATGTAAATGTTATGTCTTTATCTTATCATACAGTTATCGATACTGTAAAGATGGAACCCTATACAAAGTACAGGATGGCAAAGTATGCTTCATTTACAGTAACACAAATGTGTGAAGGTCTAACGCCAATCAGTTTCTTTTTATTTCAGTCTGAGAATCCATTGAGAAGAATTTTCCTACCTAGCTGTCTATGTGTCACTGGGACAAGAAATGGTGGTGGTTGGAGTGGGGGTGGAAATGTGAATGTCACCGGGACAGGAAAGCACAGATAGTAGCCTATGTTCAAGGGGTCTTTTGATGTAAAATGTGGTATACTTCCCCACCCAAAAGTCACAAGTGCTGCATACAGCCGCCCCAAGAAACCAATTACAGGATGCAGCTGTAGGCTGTGTGACAGTCCTTGTCACGGTGTTAAAAGGCACTCTGGGCCAGGCTTTGGAGAGAACAGACACAGTGATGGGGCAGGTGTTTGTCGTGTTTGAATGCTTGCCATGCATTATACAATTTTCTTGAGAATCTTTCTTTAGATTTACCAAAAACCATATAATATGAGGTCAAACCTAAACAATATTTTCAATTGTATGCAATTAGGCAAGCCCTTGCACTACATATTTAAAGGTAAATCTAAAGGAAATTGGGCAGAAATTGGACACAAAATTGTAAGAAAATTGTATAGTGTATGGCCAGCCTTAGGAGAGCTAGGATTAGAGTTCAGGGCCTCAGTATGTGTACAAGGGAGCAATGAGGTGCATGCTTGCACAGTGCTGTCCAGGACAGGACAGACAGAGGCCCAAACATGAGAGATGGAGCAGCAGGGGAAAAAAATTATAAAAACAGATACAGGAGTACAGGTTACCAACCACAAATCCTTTAGCAGAAGTCTTTGCATATTGCCAGAGGTAATCTGAGACTCTGTATGAGCAGCCCCAGTCTGGCATTAACCTCCAAATCACAAGACCACCTGGAGTCTTAGGCCAAGGTCCTACTCACAATGTCCAAGGACAGCTGCCATTCGTACAGATTCCATGTGACACTCTTCAGTGAGAGCCCAGCTTCCACAGGTGATGCCCTGCAGCGAATATCTTTCAGTCCAAGTTTCTTCTGGCCCTCAGCCAAGCACATGCTGAGGCCTAACAACAGTTCTTCAGTACACTGGGTGCCTCCTCAGAAGAATAACACTTTCTGAACAGCCCCCAAAACATTTATCTTCTCCTCAGCCACCTTCTGGGCACCCCCACTCCCCAGGGATTGGCTGAGGTCTAAGGCTGGGGGTAACAACTATACCAAAGCAATTAAAATGTAAGTCTGAATAGGTGTATGCAATATTTCTCTGCAATGCATTCAAATCTCTTGCTTTGTCTCAATAAAAATACTACGAGTACAGAAAATACTTATTGATTCCACCAAAAAACCAGTGAGCACCTAACTTTCTGTAGGAGGTTAAAAACGCTGCCTCTGCTGCACTGCAATTCCAAGAAGTGCTATCAGCCCTACTTACCCCAATGCCTCCCCTTTATGTTATGTAGATGAAGAGATAAGGGATGTGTTGTATAGTCCAACAGAGGAGAACGTGGGTAGGGCTGAGAACATTTACAGATTTACAGTGCAGCAGAGGCTGCATTTTGCAGCTCAAACAGGACTCTAACTAACTAACTGGATTTCTGCTAAATACAAGAGCCATGTGCATTCTTTCTTGAATCTTGGTGTATTTTGTGTATTTCTTCTAGATCTGTGCAGTAATCCAATGAAAACTTTACCTGTGCAGGTAATACAGACCGGTCATTGCTGCTGTCTCTCCTTGTGCAGGGTGACTAGTCTTGTATTTGCCCCCTCCCACAAGGAGCCTGTAGTGGGTGGAGCCTGCTAGGCTCCTCCCAAAGCTCTGCTTTTTGCACAGGCTATGGCCAGCACAGTGATTATATAATCAATACTTTTACAAAGTCATATCTGGATTCACAAAGACATTTGGTGCACACAGGGTGGATTTACATTCTTTGAAGCTAAAGCCGGCCATACACGGTTCGAATTCCAAAAGAATATTCTTTCGAAAATCTTTTCTAAGAATTTTCGTTTGAATTTCGCACCATTAGTGGGTCATAGAAATGGCGACCATCAAATCTGAGTGATCGGGCATGTTGGAAATTTTCTGAAAAACGAATTAATTTCGAATCAATGATGGGAGAATCGTGCAAAAAATGAAAAAAAAGAAAAAGAAATGAGTCTGAGCTGTGACCTGGAAAGAAAAGAAAATTCTTGGCCACGAAAATTCTTTTCTGTAGCAACACGAGGTGAAACTTAAGGCTTGGTTGGTCGAATTTCGAGATCAATGGTGGCACCATCGGATTACAAAACGCGCACAAAATTTCCGATTTTCTAAAGAAAATTAGTTCAGAATTCAGTACGGCCTGCATAATGAAGAATTATATTTAAATTAAATTTCTTGTGCTCGGAGTTCAGCTTTAAGGAGACAAAATATGGGGGGATGTACTGAATTTGATTTTTCACGCCTTAGATATTATCTGTTGGTTTGTTTAGTATAACTGTAACCATGTTTCTGCTGAAGTGATGCAACCTGGAATCTCAAGACACAGAACGTAGTCGTATTATGCAGAGGTGATTATAGTAGCTTACAAGTAAATAAACAGCCTGTCTCTGGGTAACAATTATTGTAGTTTACGTTGGCGGATTAAATGCTTCCATGTATAATTAAAGTCTTCCATTTATATCTCTTCCTGAAATGGAACATGTATAAGGACCCAGCCTTTAGTCAGCTTGTTCAGGACTGTACAATGTCAGCACAAGTGGCCACTTACTACTGACTTTAAATAAATAGATCACGTCATCAGACGTACAACAACGAACAATTGGATTTATGTTTGCCTCTCCTTAATCTGACGGGTATCAACTATTTTCAGTGTTCCCTTTTCATCTGTAATGTTTGGACCAGGAGAGAAATATTAGAAAGGTTGCCCCATGGGATTGTCACCCCTAGTACCTCTTTTTTAAAATAAATTAATTATATTCAGTAGGGAAAGAAAGTCCTAAAAGTCACAGGGCCTCAGCCCAGGCTCCAATCAGGCCACACACAGTATTTATTTATTTCAGGTACTTATATAGCACCATCAATTTACGCAGCACTTTTACATATATATTGTACATTCACATCAGTCCCTATCCCACAAGGGGCGTACAATCTAACTCACATTCATACATACACACACTAGGGCCAATTTAGACAGGATCCAATTAGCCTACCAGCATGTCTTTTGGAGTGTGGGAGGAAACCCACGCAGGCACAGGGAGAACATGCAAACTCTAGACAGGAGGTGCCGTGGCTGGGATTCGAACCAACGACCCTAGTACTGCCAGGCAGAAGTGCTAACCATTTAGCCACTGTGCTGCCCATTCGTACCATATTTTACTCCCTAATCTATAGGTGACACTCCACTGGGCAGGACCACCATATGTGGAGCATGTCACCGTCAACCCCACAGACGCGAAAACAAGACGGCCTATAAGTAGGGACACATTTAGCGATACGTGTTGATGTAAAATACTTTCGGGAGAGAACTTTTGGCTTTGGCTTGGCTTGGACATTGCAAGAGTATGATGAAGCAGCTTGCCAAATCGACAGCCAATCTTCCAGGGTCTTGTTTAGATCCTGCTCCCAACAGGTCCAGTAAGACAGCATGGCATTGAAAGCGTGTTATTGAACTGCCATATAAATTAGGGATTAAGCACTTTTAGACGTCACTGAAGATTTATAGCAGAACTCAAAGCTGCGAGAGTTCTCTGGGGAGTGTGATTCTGGGTTAGCGACTCGACAAAGTGGCACAGCTGAAGGAAAGCTTGTAGAAAGCTGGTGGGTCTCCCGTAGCTAATTAAAAGTGCGCATACCCTTAAGCGTGAGCATGGAGTGCACTGTTATCTGTCCATGGGAAATCCACCAATTAAATGCAACTCTATTGCTCATACCCGGAGGAAATAGGATAGACAAAGAGGCGAAGGAACTGTGAGTGGGCATCTTTTTTTTCACATACTGTCACCAGTCAGTATCCCTGATCACCGCCACACCAGTCATATGATGACGCTGTACTGCACTTGTGACAGTATGTAAAAAAAGAAAAACCCCAAACTTTATTTAATTTTTTTCATTTTACAAAAAATTGTGACAACAAATTACAACTTCGAAAAACTCACCATACCTTGGACTGTCTACTTTCCAACAAAGGGTCTTTGGGGGGGGGGTATTTGTACTGTCCTGGCATTTTAGAGCCTCAAGAATTGATATACAATAGTTTTGTCCAATCAGACATATCACGCCTTGATAATGTCCGATTGGATGAAACGTGTTGGGATGTGCTTTCTAGTACTGACGTCATGCCGCTGCACGATCCCGAGTCAGCAGCAGCTTTCATTGTGAGCTCTTTCGTTTGATTCATTTATGTACTGCTTTTA